GAGACACATTGTACTGGGAAAATTTGCAGTTAGGGACCTCTGTACATTATTAAGGAGTATTTACGTCAGTGTAAATCCACCTGGTTGAGGGTCTTCTCCTTTGCCCACCCTCTACTTTTTCCAACATCATGTCCTTCTCCTAGCAACATGCCCAAAGTATGTGAGGGGAATCTTTATCATCCCTGCCTCCAAAAGGCACTCCAGCTGCACCCTCTCCAAGACATATCTGTTTGTTCTCTTGACTGTCCATGGGATGTGCAGTGCTCTTCTCCAGCACCACAGCTCAAGGGCATCAATTCTTTTTCTGCCATCCTTATTCATTGTCCAGCTCTTGGATGCATAGCAAGTAATTGGAAAGACCATGGCCTGAGTCAGATACTCCTTGGTCCTCAAACTGACATAATTACTCCTCAGTAATTAGAGGTGGATAGACACAGTGACCGCTGCAATGTGCTCTTGTGTGTCAGGAAGTGTGGGGATGGTGCAGGACAGAACAGGGTTCAGATCTTTTGTTCACAGGGTCACTATGAGTCATACTTGACTCAACAACACCTAACAACAACAACAACAACAACAACAACAACAACAATCATCCAGGGTTTTGTAATCCACACAGTCAAATGCCTTTACATAGACAAAGAAACACAGACATTCCTCTGGTACTTTCTCCTTTCAGCCAAGATCTGTCTAACATTAGCTAAAATATCCCTAGCACCAAGGCCTCTTCTAAACCCAGCTTGCATATCTGGCGGTTGTCTATTGATTGTTCCGGTCGTTTTTTGGATAATTTTCAGCAGAGTGTTGCTTGCATGTGATATTAATGATATTGTTTGGTCATTTCCACAGTCTTTTGGGTCACCTTTTTTTTGAATGTTATTGTTGTTGTTGACTGCCTTCGAGTTAAGCATGACTCATAGCGACCCTATGAACAAAAGGCCTGAAGCCCCTCTACAGTTACCGATATTTATCAAAGTTCATAGAGTTTCCAGAGGCATGTTTTTTAGGAAGTGGATGATATTCCTGCTTCCAAACCTCTCATGGTATGTTCTTGTTGTTATGTGTCATTGAGTCGCCTGCAATGCATAGCAACCCTATGTACAGCTGCTCTGAACTCTTCCCTGTCCTGAGCCAGTCTCACTAATTCCAACACACCAACTCCCATTGCCCCAGTTACAGTATCAATTCATCTCATCTGGGGTCTCCCTCTCCTAAGCTTCTAGTCAGTTGGCCAAGTGGTTGTCCTCCAGATTTCTTGGCACAACTTGGTGAGCACGTCCAGGGCAACATCTGCTTAAATGTCAATCGGTATGCCATCAGTTCCTGGGGCCTTGTTTTTTGCCAGTTCCTTCAGAGCAGCTTGAACTTCCTCCTTCCTCACCATTGCCTCTTGACCATATGTTGTTCAATGAACTTCTCCTGTGTCAACCAATTCCTTTTGGTACAGTAACTGTATACCCCTTCCATCTTTTAATGCTTCCTGGATCATTCAAGTTTCTGCCCAAAGCATCCTTAAGTATTGCAAATTGAAGCTTGAATTTGTTTTCCACCTCCTTCAGTTTAAGAAATGTGAAGTAAGTTCGGCCCTTTTGATTTTCTGACTCCACATCTTTGCCATCTTAACTAAGGTTAGTCCAAGCTAACGTTTTAATAACTAGTTTAGACTATCTTTGGGGTCGTCTACGTCCCCACATCTGCCATTGAAAACCCTGGAACTGCTTTGTTCCTACTCTTGAGTCGATATTAGCAGGGCTTTTTATAGACACTGGCTCCACATGCACAATGCACACACACAAAAGTACATACACACAATATACACGTATTCTATATACACACAATGTACATGTACACTGTCCACACACACTGTCCACCCCCATGTACACACACGCCACACATACACCGTACATACAGTGTGCAGAGACTCCACACATACACACCTGAGCAGTAAGGTGGGGTAGATGCCAGATCACCTCGATCACGTCAGGACTGCAGTAGAGGAATCTCATGACTTGTGTGGGTCCCTAGTGCTCCGTACTACACTGTTGTTTAGGGGTTTCTGGGGACCTCGTCTGCTGGGACTTGTTAACTCAAAGATGGCACCTCTGGTGGTTCGAATCCCATACTGGCTGAGGGAGGAAAAGGGATTGACAGCCTCGGAAACCCCACAGGAGGGTGAGCCGCTTCCACCTCAAGGCTAACGAGGGCCTGAGTGGAGGAAGCAGGCCCCAGCAATGGGAGAGGTTGAACTGTTGAGAGCGCCTGAAACAGCTCAGACACCCCACGTGAGCGCGCACTGCGGCAAGGGACTTGGGAGGTGCAGCGTCCCCACAAACTTTGGATCTTTTTCAGTCTCATGAAGTGTAGTGATGCAAAGTGCAATGAAAGTGCATGCCTTGTGTGTGCCTAGTTTTTCTTGCCATGCCTTTAATCTCACGTACAACACACCGCCTCTGAAAACCCGCTGGTGGGTCTACTAGGAATCAGTCCTCACTCGATTGTACCTACCAACAACAGTCCTCAAGTGAGCTAACACACCACATGCATGCTACATGCATGTAAGCATCCCCTGAGTATTGCGTTCACAGGGAACTCAAGGAGCACATATCTGCTTGTACATGTATGATATTTATTCCACAACCAATTCATCAGCAAAGGCGTTTTCGTTTTCTTCCAGCACAGAAAGGAAACGGAGTGTGTGGTCAGGGTGTGTCAGCCCCTTCCAGCCCCATAGACACCTGCTCTCAGGACAGACAGGTTGTGTTGTTCAGAAGGTCCTCGGTTTGTTTTCTGAGAACTGAGGTGTGCCGTGTCATCCCTCTAAAGTTTCTCCCAGGTTATTTGTGGGTGGACAGCACCCTAAGACCTGGTGCCTCCTGGCCTCCAGGGGCTGAGTTATCAGGAGAGAGAGGCATCTGGAAGCACCCCAGCCCCTCCAACTCCCAGGGAGCCCCAGTTACTAGTGGAACTCTTTATAGCTGGGCGGGAGGAAGCTCCTGGCTGTAAATTGTCCAGAGGCCAGGAGAGGGGAATCCCTAAAAGGAAGGACAGGGATCCCAGAACCAGGCAGGGAAGGGGTGGGGTGGGGTGGAGGGTGGGAAACCAGCTGTGCGTGGAGAGACAGGCTAGTGGAGCAGTTATGGCCAAAGGTGCCCGCAGGTGACACTTGGGGGTTACTGACCACTTGAATTGTTTGACATCAGAACCGTGGGTTTCAAATTACTTTTTCGGTTTAGGAAGACTTCATTAGCTCCTTGGGTCTCAAAGATGCCTGTTAACCAGAGCAGACAGCTCCTAGGGGGAAGTTCCTGGGGGGAAGGAGTTTGTGGTCCCCACGCCCTGCAATGCCCTTTGTTCTCAGGACCCCAGACACCAAGAGGACCTTGGGGTTTATTCGCATATCAGGGGAGCGTCCGGAGGTCTTCCGTGGGGTTCCCCAGGAGGGTCAGGTAAATGAGGGCCTTTTAGTGACTCTTTCCGTAAGGAAATGCCCCTGGGCCGACCCCAGGGGACCTTCATCATCCAAGACAATAAAAGAAACTGAGACAGACTGGCAGAAGGGGCCTTCAGGTGGGAGGTCAGGTGGGCGGGGCGGGATCCACGGGTGCGGCTGGAGATGGGGTGGATAAGGACCGCAGGCGCGCTCTCACCCCTTCCTCGGGGTGGCAGTCCCCTTTGGGGTGCCTCGCTCCCGGAGGGCCAGACGCGTGGTGGCCGATCAACCAGGACGGGATGGTGACGGGTCCCAGCAGGCCACGGCTGGAGCGCAAGGGTCCGGAGAGGAGTGCTGCGTCCGCCGTTGCTACGAGCTCTCCAGGGCTTGGGATGCAAGGCGCCCGACGATCTAAGAAACTGAGGGACCCCCACGCTCGTCGGAGAGCGGCGGCCGAGGCCTTGGCGGGGCGAGCCGGCTGCGTCCCCAGCCCCTTGTCTGCACCCAGGGCTCCTTCCTCCCCCTTCCTGATCCCGTTTCCCAGGAATGTTACTGTTGAAAGAGCCCACACAGAACTACTTCCTGCCCATTGTCACCTTTCCGAGCTCGCCCTGCCGCATTCTCACCTTAAGGTAATAAAGGGCTGAGGCGGCTGGACTCGCCCCGGAGGCGCAGCGAGGGCGCACGGCGGCCCAGCCCTGCGCGCCGGGGCGCCCCGAGCCTCCTGGAGACCCAGCCTGACACCCCAACCCCTCCAGTCACGTTCAAAGCGCTCACACCACACCAGCGCTGTCTGAAGCTGGCGGGGCAGAGGGTCGCCTCGCAGTGGGGACCCCGGGAAATGCTTCCACCCGAGCGCAGGTTTCGGTCCATTTCACTGAGCGCCTGGTAGATGCGCAGCGGCCTGAGGGGCCTCACCTGGGTCCAAACCCACGACAGTGGTGGCAGCTGTGCTGGGACCTGGGCTGACTGCAGGGCCACCCTCCAGAGCGCCTAGACGGGACTCAGGGACACTGTGCTGTGCGCTCCAAACAGGACTGAGTGTCTGGGAACATAGGCGCCCAGAGGAGGTTCGGGCCTGCAGAGGGCGGACCCAGTGTGAGCAGACGCGACGGGCGGAGGGGTTCCCGCACCCCGCCTCCGGGGCCTCAGGCCACTTTGATGGAGGCGCAAAGCCCCGGAGAGGGCGGGGGTGAGGGCCGGCCGGGCGCAGCCCTATTTGCATGCCGGGCCGCGGGGCATATTGCTGGTGGCTGCAGGGTCTGATGTGGCCGCCCGCGCCCAATGGGCGGTCGTCCGGCTCTTCAAAGGCCCAGGCCCGCACCTCCAGCCTGGGGTATTTAGGGCGGGGGGCGTGCATTTCTCAGCGCTGAGAACTCGTTGTGGCTGCCCCGCCGGGTTCCCAGGGGCACCGCTCTCGCCGCTTCCTTGGCCCCTCTCTCCGATCTCGCTGTCTTCGGGCCGCTCTGGCACCAGGGGGCTGCGGGGACCCCTTTGCTTAGAAGAGAGACGGCGCAGAGGGGACGAACGTGGCTCTCTGGTAGCGCCTTGGGGCTCCGAGGGCGGCGGGAGGATGGGCTCCCCCAGCGCAGAGGGCTCGGGGAAGAGCCTGCAGTACCGGGTGGACCACTTGCTGAGCGCGGTGGAGAGCGAGCTGCAGGCGGGCAGCGAGAAGGGCGACCCCACGGAGCGCGAGCTGCGCGTGGGCCTGGAGGACAGCGAGCTGTGGCTGCGCTTCCAGGAGCTCACCAATGAGATGATCGTCACCAAGAACGGCAGGTGGGTGCGCGCGGTCCTCCCCAGGGCGCAGGCGGCGTGGCCGTGGCCCCCAGGAGGCCTGGGAACGTGGCTAAGGCTTGGATCCTTGTCCTTGGGTCAAGGAGTCGTTTTCCTCGTGTGCTTTCGGGTGCAAGTGCTTTGTGGTTCTTCCTGGCATTTTGTCAGTGGAAGAAAGCAACTTGGATCCCCTGGACCGCCTCAGACGCGCCTACGCTCGCATTGCCTGGTGCGGTCTGGCCAAGGCACAGTTGGGGCTGGGGCCTGGGGCTTCTGAGGCGGGGAGCGGAGCTGAGAAACCCCCTTTGGGTTTCCCGAAGTAACATTCCTCAATGCCAAGCTTAGCGCAGCAGCCTCGAGGGTAGGGTTCTCCCCCCTTCCAGGAGGATGTTCCCGGTGCTGAAGGTGAACGTGTCCGGCCTGGACCCCAACGCCATGTACTCCTTCCTCCTGGACTTTGTGGCGGCGGACAATCATCGCTGGAAGTACGTGAACGGCGAATGGGTGCCTGGGGGCAAGCCGGAGCCGCAGGCACCAAGCTGCGTCTATATCCACCCCGACTCCCCCAACTTCGGGGCGCACTGGATGAAGGCGCCCGTGTCCTTCAGCAAAGTCAAACTCACCAACAAGCTCAACGGCGGCGGCCAGGTAGGCGCACGGAGAGCCCTCAGTGGCTGCCCCACCTCTGCGCGCAGAGGAGGGGAGTGTGGTGCAAGGGGAGACTCGGTTGGAGGGGACTTTATGCTCTGAAAGTGCTGGCGAGCTCGCTCCCGGGGACACCTAGACCCAGGCAGGGCCAAGAGGGAGATTTGTCTCCCGGAAGGTCGCTCTGGTCTTTGGGGATTATACGTTTGGGACCCTAAATTCCCTAGAATGAAAAGAGAAGATGTGTTTGATGGCGAATAGGGGATCAAAGTGAACCAGGCAGCAGCGATTCCTGATTGAAGTCTGAACTAGCTTGTAAAGCAGCGGTTTTCTAAGGGATTCCCTTTAGCTGTTAGAAGTTTGTTACCTCGAGGTTTCTGTCCAGTTGCAAAGCCAGACATTAACAGTGGTGCCTGATGCAGCCTGGGAACCCTGGGCTTCACCCTACATGCCAGAAGGGTTTGCGTGGGGCACTGGTGGCCTTTAGTGACGGGGGTGGTGTCCCAGGTTCTCAGAGAGCCTGGGGAAAATGGAGAGCCTCCTGAGGAGGGGTGTCCCCTGCTGCAGCACACCCACGTCCAGTGTTTCTGTTGGCCAGTGGAGTGGATGATGCACCTTTTTGCCTCAGTGGTGAGAACAACCTTGATGCTTGTTTCCCCCGCCCCCCCCCCAGATAATGCTGAACTCCCTGCACAAGTATGAGCCCCGCATTCACATCGTTAGAGTTGGGGGGCCCCAGCGCATGATCACCAGCCACTGCTTTCCAGAGACCCAATTCATCGCGGTGACAGCCTATCAGAATGAGGAGGTCAGTGGGTGCTGGGAAGATGGGGGGTGCCATTGATTGAGGGGTGTTAGACTCACGGTTATGCCTGCCTGTGGAGATCAGTCAGTGTCACTCAAGTGTGGTTGGCTGGGTGTTTAAAGCAGGGCCTTGTTCTAGAATTTTCCATTATGAGCATTTAAGCATTTGTAGATTAGTTAAGTGTCTAAACTGAGAAACAACCACTGAATGCTTGAAATACATCCTTAAATCTAACTATAAAATGTTTTAGATAAGGAAGCCCCCATTATTGTTGTCAAGTCAGAACCGACTCACAGCTGAGCCTCCAGTGGCCTCTGAGGCTGTAGATTGCCAGGCAGGAGACTGGCCCTTTGTCTCCCGTGGAGCCACTGCCGGATGTGAAGGCCCTGGGAGGTGCTGCCTCTGGATTAACTGCACAGGCCTGTAGGGGCCAGGTCTCCACTGATCCCTCCCTGTCCAGGAATCCTGTGACCACCAGGCTCTGAGCAAGAGAAGGGCTTTGCTTTTCTTTGGAGATGTTCCCCAAAGAACGGGAATGTCAGTACAGCTGAGTAATGAGATATAATATGAGATATAAAATGCTGAGGCCACTGTGGCGAATGGTACTGTGGCATCTGCCCTGACCTGTAGTGACCTGGTATATGAGATGGCTCCCAGCCCTATCCTGACCATCCCTGCTGGGATGAAGTCTCACATCTCTCCGTCTCACTGAGGGTCTTCCTTCCACCTTCCTAAGCAAGATGTCCTTCAGGCACTGCCCCCCCCCCCCCCCCCCCCCGCTGAAATGCTCAAAGTACGTGAAGTGAAGTCTCACCAACTTTGTTTCCCAGGACCAATTGGGCCGGAGCTCTTCTAAGTCATATGTCTTTGCTATATTAGAAGCCCATGGTATGTTCAATACTCTTGCCAACACCACAATTCAAAGTTGCCAGTTCCTCTGGGGTCTTTATTATTCATTGTACAACTTTGGCATGCACACAGAGTAATTGAAACTACCATGGCATGTATGGGTCAGGTGCACCTTAGTCTTTAAAGTGACATTGATTCTATCTTATAGTGACCCATACACAATAGAACGAAACTTTGCTCCCCACCAAGACCCAATTTCTATTTTAGCCATTTTCATCTTGTGCACGTGGACAAGTTAGCAGTTAGTAAACTTATTGTGAACCTGTTTATGAAACTGACGTTATAAAACTTGGTGAGTCAATGTGTGCCTTTCTTAGTGGAATATTACAGTCACTTGGTCACTTCAGGACCCCACAGAAGGACCTGGTAAGCAGTCTGACTGAATATTTGAAGTGGGAAGTGAGGTATCTCAGTTTTTGGCTTGGTTTTAAATCCTCTGAGGGTAGTTCCTCTCTGGCCCTTGGAACCCACCAGCGGTTTCACAGGAGATGGACAATCACCTCCTGTAATTTATAGTCTCCAAACAGCCACTAGAGGGTCGGATAGGAGTCAGTTCCAACTCCATGGCGGTGAGTGACTGAGAGCCTTATGACATAGGTTAAGTGTTGGGGTGCTGACCAAGAGGTTGGTGGTTCAAATCTTCGAGTCACTCAGAGGGAGGAAGGGGCAGCTGTATTTGCTGTTAAGATTTGCAGCTGGAAACCTGCTGACGGGTCACTTGAGTTGGAGGTGACCTGATGGGAGGGGAGCTGGTTGGGGTTTCACTGACTGGCGCACTAGTCAGGTCTACTTCTTGTTTTTCAGATCACAGCTCTGAAAATTAAATACAACCCATTTGCAAAGGCTTTCCTCGATGCAAAGGAAAGGTGAGAACATTCTTGCCTGTGGCTTTGGACAAAGACGTGTGCGTGGGGGGAAATTTGCTGCAACTATTGCTCCACTGAATGTCCTTTCCTGATGCTGCAACGTCCCCTTTCTGCCAGAAGTGACCACAAGGATGTGATGGAGGACCTGGGAGATGGCCAGCAGTCTGGATACCCTCAGTGTACGGTTTGTTCCCCCACACTGTGTCACCCTGTCAGCAGAGCTTGTGACAAGCTAGGTGCTGCAGCTGGAGGGAGGGCAGAAGGCGGGGTGTGCTGGAGGGATGGAATTACAGGGGGGGACTGTGGCTGGGAAGCAGCCCGGGGGCCTTGGCTCACCCAGGCTGCCTGCTCACCTGGAGCCTAGAACTCTTGACACAAGTCTGGGGAGCAGGGCCCAGGTTCCTGGTGGGCTCCCAGCAGTGTCTACCATGCTCAGATGGGCCCTCCTGACCTCGGTGAGTGGTGTTGCTGTGTACCTTGGAGTCAGAATTGACCATAGCTGCTCCTCTAATGGGTTTTCAGGGGCAGCCAATCCCAGGAGGTTGCCCATCCTTTGTCCACTGTCCTGTGTCGGGCAGGAGAGGGAGAGGTGGGAAGTCCTCTCCGAGTCCCCTCTGTTGTCTAGCTTTTGGGGGGGGGTTCCTTGTAACAGCTCATGGATCAGCTCTGGTTGGTGATGGGGGAAATGAGGACAGGGTGGCTTCAAGTTTGGCTTCTCTCGGAGTCTCCCCAGATGAGAGTGAGGCAAGGACTGCAGGGGTGTCCATACCCCATGGTCTGTCTGACTCTGCCTTTCAAAAAAGGAGGCCTTTTGGGTTTTTTGGATGAATGGAGCAGCCAGGACAAGAAGAGACCACTTACTTGTTCGGCTTCTCTCCACCCAAAGCAAAGTCTTGGAGTGTCCAGGAGAGCCCAGTCTGGGTCCTCGGCCCCAGGCCTCCCGGAGGGACGAGCCCCCTCGCCTTTAGCAGCCGTCTCTGTTCCAGATGGGGAACCTGTGAGAACCAGACTCACAGGGACGCCTGGCTTTTAGGGGTCCCGCGGGAGTCCCCAGCAGGGTGTCCTGACACTGCTGTGTCTTCACTGGAAATATTTAGGGTGTCCTCCTGCAGGCCCCTGCCACATGGGGGTTCTGGGTCCCACAGGGCGGTGTGAGCGCCCATGTGTACATTAAAAAGGCAACAACCGAAACCAAAACCGCAAGCCCACTGCCGGGGATCGGTTCTGACTACAGACACCTCCCTGGGCTTCCGAGGCCATGGATCCTTGTGGGAAAGGAGGCTGCCCGTCTTTCTGCCGTGGGGCCCCTGATGGATCAGCACCGTGGCCTTAGTCAGCAGCCTGCTAGCTTCCACACAGCGCTGCCCGCTCAGGTGAAGCAGCTCGGGGCACACCCACTGCAGGTAGAAGCCCTGCTGCCGCCTGTGGGGGACCCCACCACACCCTCTGTCACAGAAATGCTCGGAAGTGGCAGCCAGAGAAGATACGTTTCCAAGTGGGGGGACGTGCCTTTAGAGAAGGGGTGCAGAGAGCAGGGCCGTGTGGGAAGGACTTTGATTCTGGTGACGGGAGAATAGAGCCTGAAACAGAAGAGGGGTGAGCAGAATGTGGACCCCCATCCTGAGGTCAGACCCCAGCTGGGGGTAGGAGAAGGGAGGAGGACCAGGGGAGGACACAGCCACTACACCAGCTGTTCTCTGTGGTCCGAATCACTGCCTTTTAAAAAAAAATAAAGGCTCATCTTTGTTTTTCTGGGTCTAACCTAGCATTTCAAGCTCAGTGGTAGGATCTGAAAGCTGGGAAACAGCAAGCCCCCTGAGAATTTCAGAGTACTCCAATTAAACAGCCAGTGAGTGTCCCTAGGTAGTATCTGGCAGCTAATTGAAAAGGTTGGAGGTTTGATTACAGCACAGGTGCCTCAGCAAAAGAGCCTGGCTATCTGCTTTGGAAACGTCAGCTGTGGAAAGCCCTCAGGGGACGGTTCTAGTCCAGCACACGTGGGTCCACTCGAGTGTGGCTTGATTGGTGGCGCCTGGTTTTTAGGGAAGTGGGTTGGAGGTGAAGGATCCTCGGACTCCACCTTGGGTAGCCTGTAATGTCCGCAGGGACGAGTGTCTAGAAACACTGGGTGCTCGGTCAGTGCGTGGAGACTGGGATTCCCTGAGAAGGGCAGGGGGCCGAGGCTGCCCTCTGACTGGAACCGGACAGTAAATGCCAGTCACCCAGCGTTCTTTCCCACAGCAGGGGGGTGGCTTCTCCCTGGAACCAGCACCCTCTGTCCACCTGCCAGTCCCCACACCCAGTTTGGAGGTCCTCTCTCGCTCCCCTCCGCACATGGCTGTGAGCGGTACCCTGCCCTGAGGAGTCATCGAGCGTCACCGTACCCCAGTCCCTACTCACATCACAGCGGTTCTCCACGTGAGTGTGGCCAGGGCTGGGCCAGAAGCGGGGGGAGCCAGGGACGGGGGAGCTAGGAGTTGGGAGGGCAGGGGCTGGGGGCCAGTACATTGGTGTCGAGGGATGAGGCGTTAGGGTTTTGGAGGTCAGGGGCTGGGGGATCAGGGACAGGAGTGATTAGGGGTTGGAGTGGACAGGACCTGGGGAGGGCAGCGACCAGGGGTTCACGGACAGAACCTGGGTGGCCAGGGACTCGGAGATTAGGGATGGGAGTGGTTAGGGGTTAATGTGGAAAGAACCTGGGGGCCAGGGACTGGAGGACCAGGAACAGGAGTAGTTAGGGGTTGGGGTGGACAGGACCTGGGGCCAGGGGCCAGCTGGGCCGAGGGGAGACTTGCACACCACATGATGTCCTCATGCTAACAGTTACTTCCAAATAAAGGCCTGTTCTCAAAGGCCGCGGCCTGCACACCCAGGCGCGTTAGGAGTTGTGCGGACTCAGGGCAGATCAAAGCTGCTTTGTTTGGGCCAGTTAGTGACGGACGCAGATGGGCATCTGAACAGGGCCACTCTGCCTGCATCCTTGTGGGTACTGCTTACCCAGAACAGGGCAGTCCAGGCCTGTGGTGACAGCTCTGCATGGAGCCATGGCAGGGGACTTCTGAGTGGATGGGTTTGTGGCGTGACCTTGCGTAGAGGCCAGGCCTGTCCGGTACATGGACCCCCATGCCATCCTGGGTGGGGGGGTCCGCAGTGAGTGAGGATGACAGTCTTGGGCTGCCCAGCCAGGCAGACGTTGCCCGGGAACTGGGGAGGAGGGCCGACTGACTGCCGTGGGGTTGTGGGGCCGAGTCTGAGGAACTGAGGAAGGCAAGCTTGGCTGTCCACTTCCTGAAGCCATGAGATCCTCAGGCAGCCGTTCTGTCCTGACCCACGAGGCTCCGGGACGTGGCACTGGCTGGCTGGAGTGCTCGCTCGTAGCCCCCCAGCTGACTAGGGACGCTGATCATGGCCTGGGTTCTGACCTCGGGCAAGCTCACGTCTGCCACGTCCCAGCCCAGCAGCGTGGACGCGGCAGAGGGTGTTAGAGCAGCCTCTCCACAGAGCTGGCTCCCTCACTGCGGGAACAGCCACACGCAGGGCCACAGAGCACGCTCTGGACAGGCCCGGACTGGACAGTGTCTGTGAACCTGGTGAGCTAAGAACTGCTCCCCAAGGTCCATTCAGTTCTGACGTCTGGAGAGAGCTGCATTTATGCTGAGTTTTAGACAGTTGACAGCGTTCAGTCCAGTGGTCCCAGGGGCTCGCCTGGGCTTGCTGGCATGGACTTTTGTGTATAGACGGTGTTTGGCTGTCCCTGTGATAAGGGGTCAAGCAGGCCAGCGGGTTAGTTTTGATTCTGAGTATACTACAGCAGAACTTGTTTTCAGTGCTGGGTGACCCTGTTATCAGGGACAGTTGTTAGGTGTGTTTCTCGTGGAAGGCCCGTGAGTAACCCTGCCTTCTCACCCCTGTAGCGTACCCCGACAGTTCATCCCCATGCCTGTCGATGCTGCAACCCCATGACAACTGGTCCAGTCTGGGAATGCCCGCCCACGGCAGTGTGATTCCCATGAGCCACACCCCGGGGCCTGCCCCTGCTTCCAGGTCAGTACGTCTGGGATGTGGGCACATCTGTGGTTTCTGTTCACACAGGCCAGCTTTCAGAAGCTATGGTGGTGGTCCAGCAGTTTGAGCATCAGCCTCTGATGTCAAAGTCAGCGGTTCAAACCCCGCGGCTGCTCCAGGGGAGAAAGAAGTGGCAGGCAGCCTCTATTCAGTCTTGGGGATCCTGTGGGCAGTCCTCTGTCCTGTAGGGTCAGCATGAGTCTGAATTGACTGGACGGTACTGGGCTTGGTCCTTGTTCTATGCGTAAATGTGGGTGGCTGTGTTCTGTTTAGGATGAGACTCGCAGTGGGTACCTCTGCTGTTGAGAGGCTGTGGTGACCTCACCTGGGGTGGGTCCTGGTGTGGTGGGTGTGGGTGGTACTGGAGCTCGTGGGTCTAAGGGGAGCAAGGCCTGAGGCGAGCTCTGCCATGTCCTAAATCCATGAGGGACAAGTGTCAGCCTCTGAGCCTCGCAGAGAGAGGATGGCAGAGTGGGGTTGCTGGCTCCAGAAAGTTCATTTTAAGAATCATGTCCAGGGTGTGTGGACATTGAGCTGGGGAATGAATGACCAGCTTTTCTGAGAACCCAGGATCAAAGCCCTGGGCCGAGAGGCTGGACAACAGTGAATCCATTCTCACCCTCTGTGAAAGCGACACATGGACCCTCTTTATCCAAAAGGGAGCAGTCCACACACATGAGGGGATAGGCCAGGGTTGTTCCCAGCAGGCCAGGCCTCCAGCTGGGTATCCTGACCACAGAGCAGCTCCCTTTATTGTGCTGGTCAGTGCTGCCCTGTCTGTCCTCACCCCCAGTGACCAGGTGCACAGGGTAAGGGCCTGCCCCGGCCTTTGCCCTCCTCATGTCTCTGCGTGAGCCCACTGCTGCAGTGTCACTGCCTTGTGTGGAAGAGAGTCTTCCTCTTTGTGCCCTTCTACAGGGCCCATCCTTCCTGCTAATATGCTCAAAACGGTTTATGACCAAGGCTTCCCAGCGTCCCCTCTAGGGAAGATTCTGGCTGCGGTTTTTATGTGCAGAATGCTGAAACAATGCCCAAGCTCTTAATTTCTCATGTCTAGAAATTTCTGCATAAGAATAACAGCGGGCTCTTAAAATGAACAGCGCACAGAAGAACAAACTTAAGGGTTGCAATGTGACTTAGAAGTCCGCTTAGTGGGGCGGTGATCTGAGAGTTTCAGTCCTCAGTGAAGTCCCGTTGTCTTCTCCAAGGAGTGCCCTGGGTCTTCCAAGACAGATGTGTTCATTCTTCTCTTTCATTTTCTCAGTTATTTCCTACTGATTCCTGCTTTCATCACCCTCTTTAAGTCCTCATTTTCTTTTAGCTTTGCCCGCCCTCTCTCTCTCCTGCCCCGTAGAGTCTTCATTCTCAGGGCAGTCTGGGGTGAGGTCAGTATTCTTCGCTAACATCATCGTTAAAAGACTTCTTCCCTTATTCACTGTCCAGCTTCACATGCCTGTGAGGGACTGAAACACCATGGTCTGAGTCAGTCCCAAATCTTAGAAGCTGCATTTTGGCTTTTTAGCACTTTAAAGAAGGTTTTTGTTACAGATTTGTCTTCTACAATGCGATCCAAGTTGCTTATCTGTCTAGATGTAAGGATTTTGGTTTCCTTTTTCCAATTTTACTTTTTGTATTTCTTGTTGTACATTTTCTTCCCCATTTCCCTCCTCCTCCCCCAGCCCGCCCCACAATGCACCCCTTGTTCCAGGTTGTTTTCATACATATAATGCCCAATCCTTATATTCCTTTTGGACAGTTCTCCCCTCCTCTGCTCCAATGCAGCATTCATTATCTATTCACTCTTTTCCCATTCTCTCTCCAACCCTGATATCTGTCCTATTTTATAACAATGGTGTTATGCAGTATTTTGTGACTAAGATATTTCATTCAGCATGATATCCTCCAGGCTTTCCTGTGTTGTGCAAGGTTTTGCTATTTCATTGTTTTTCAGTGCTATGTAATATTCCATTGTGTTGTCTGAATATGCAGGTTTTTTAGTCTCCTGGTAGCCCAGCTTCTCAGCTGGCTTTCCTCCGTGTACGGATTAAATACATACCACAAAGGGTGCAAAACGTGATGACACGCTTGCTTTTTTTTCAATTTTAGCCAAGCTATGTTCCAGCGGTCTCTTTTAATGAAGCCTCTGATCTATGCACCGTGCCTTTGAATTGATTCGTAATTTGTTATGATTTACACAATGGGTGCCTTTGCCCAGTTAGTAAGATACAAGTATACAAGTAACCAATGCTTAGCCAATGTAACCCCTGGTTCCCATTCTCTTCTGACCCTGGTTGAATTTCTGATAGGACCCCGTTGTCAACACAGCTGCAGCCATTTAAAACCATTTTCCAGCAAACCTTTGCTCATTTTACGTGAGCAGATGTGCTGCTGATGACATTGTTACGTCTGCTCTCTGTTGGGTCGTCTTCCTTTGGAATTGGCACAAATACAAATTTTTTCCCATCAATTGATTAGGTAGCCCCCCCCCCATTTTTTTTGTATAGATGAGTGAGCGTGCCTCACTTTCTGTCACTCACTGAGATGTCCCTAGAAGTGTAGACTCTCTTACACTTTATCCTCACACTTTCAGCCTTGTTTCTTCTGTTCACTTCTTCCTGCTTGTTGCTCTCGCACTGACCCCCCCCCCCCTTTATGGTTGGACCTGCCTTGGGGCGGATCCCGGGCTTTTTCCTGCTGGTGGAGTTGAACCACTAACCTCTTGGCTAGCGGCTGAGCTCTCAGTCGTGCCACCAGGGCTCTTTTCTGTGATCTCAGCAGGAACGATATGGTGCTTGGGTCAATTGACTCTAATCCTCGGGATGGTCTGATGGGCACCCGGCAGGCAGGGCTGCTCTGGCCTCCTGGATTTCCTCGAAGGTTCCTGCCGGCTGCACCTCCTGGTAGCACAGCGTGCCTGGAAAGGGACTGGGTGGGACCTTCAGGGAGTGCTCCCCGGAGCTCCCTCAGCTTCCTGCCTTCAGCGTGGAAGCCCCGGGCTGCAGTTAAAATTGTTAAAATTCTGACTCTGCAGCTCGTCCGGGGACACTCTGGGCTGTGATTTCTTCTTGATGTTAGGTGTCTTGGAGGTTTGTAAGGCTGTAGTGACCCTGTGAACCACAGGTACAATCCTAGGAATTTCCTATCTGGAGTTTTCTGAGGGGAATCACGGGGAACAGGACCTGTCTCTAGGCATACATTCCCTTTGGTAGCATTTTTTTTTAACAAGGAAGGAAAGTTTCATTCTTAGAAAGATCACATTGTTCTGAAAGCCTTTCACTCCTGTGAATTGGTGCAGCCCACAGCCCACTTGGGGCCTGTCAGGTGCTCCCTGAATGAGGCCCTCTGGACACTTGGCCAAGCTGACTTCTTTCTCTGCTTGCCCATGTTTGATTTTACTTCTTTTTATGTGGGTGATGTTTTCATTCAACCATTCTTACATGTTTTGTTTAGCATTAATTATAATTGAATAATGTAATTGATTTCAGTGTCTGATCACCTCCTTATTATACATTGCCTTTCCCACCATCTAACTCATCTGTGTACTAACTTTGTTCCTCTCTTCTTCCTTTTCCACCCCTGGTTACCATCTAAGAATTGTCCTGTGTCTACACCTTTCCTTAGCTCTTTTTAATAATGGCCTGCCTTCTTGGTAGAAATAAGCTCATCCCCATTGAATCAGAACAGACACATAGCTGACCTATCTATCCTCAGAGTTTGAAGAGGTTGTAAATTGCTCATCTTTCTCCCTCGGAGCTGCTGGTGGATTCGAACTGCCAAAGAGGAGCGGTAGCAGTGCAACTCCACATAGACTGTGCTCAGAGCTCCCTCACTATCCACGAACAAGAGCCGTGGCGAGAACAGATGCGCGCACACCCATGTTCATTGCAGCGTTCTTTACAGAGCAAAGAGAAACTGCTCATGTCTTCTTAAAAGAAGCACACTCCCGCCGGCCCTGCTGCCTTTAAGTGGGTTCCGAGTCACTGCAACCCCGTGGGATTCCTGAGGCTTCACTCTTTATGGGAGGGGCTTTGAATCTGTGAAGATTCAACCTGTTCACCTTTCTATTAGCAGCCCAGCAAGCTACACCCTCGGGCAGGGCCCCTCTCTTTATAGACAAGGACAGAGGGACCTCTGGATGAGGTTGCCAGGCCTCCGGTCATGCAGAGGGAAGGGCATTTGGAAGAAGGCACACAGAGGGTGGGAGCTGGCCCCGCCCCTGGCTGGCTGCCTCAGCTGGCCCCTCTCACACGTCTGTGTCTCTGCTTTGCAGCCAGTACCCCAACCTGTGGTCTGTGAGCAATGGAACCATCACCCCGGGCACCCAGACACCAGCAGTGGCCAATGGGCTGGGAACCCAGTTCTTCCGGGGCTCCCCCAGCCACTACACACCCCTCACCCACAGCACCCCTGTGTCTTCCTCGGGGTCCCCGCTGTACGAAGGAGGGGCCACATCCACAGACATTCCCGACAGCCAGTACGATGCAGCCCAAGCGTGCCTGGTGGCCTCCTGGATGCCCATGTCCCCGTAATCCATGCGATGTTCCTGAAGACATACTGACTTTCCACTGCGTGCAGATCAATCCGTGGACGAGGTGCAGATGGCGGCTCATGGTCAAGGAGGGCGTGCAGGGGGGATGCAAACCCTGCTATTTATATAAAAGAGGAATCAAATCAAACCCAACTACTCCGTCTCATCATCCGCTGTGGGTCTTACTGGAGTCCAGCCCTGAGCAGCCCTGACAGAGGAGTTCTGCGTGAGAATCAGGAAACTGGTCTAGATCAAATGGTTTATAGTCCGTGTTTTCAAGGGTTCATGCTTCTCACCCAGCTTCCAGGATGTCCTTCCTGTCCCTTCTTACTCCCTAGATCTACAGGCTACTCCCCACATTTACAAACTGCTTCCCAGATTTATCGACCAAACAGGTCCAGCTTCATTGAGAGGAAAAATGCCTGGGCACCTCTTCTTTGGGCAGGTTTTCAGTCCCTGCTGCATGGTGAAGGGAAGGGCAGGTGGGTTGTGGAATGCAGGAACCTGATCTCTTCATAGCTGAGGGAAGAAGCTTGGCTGAGGATTTGATGGCTCTGTTATGACAAGCATCTTGTGCTCATATGTAGGTAGTCTTGTATCATGTCTACAGAAGTATGCTTAACTAGGGTGTGCTTGATTATGTCAAAGTAGCTGAGACAATCAGCAGAAAGTGTTTCTGCAAAATAAAGATGGTGTGCACGAGCAGTGCTCTGTCCTGGCGTGAGTCACACCCCCTCCTTTTGGGGTGAACTTCTGTGGGTGGGCGACTGATGCAAACACATTCCTCCCCTGAAAAACCACCTTCATTTGTTCTGACCTTCTGGAGTCAACCTCTCAAGAGTTAGGCAACTAATTCCATTGAGTTTATTCCAATTCCAACAGTGTCATCGTGCCAGCAAATGACCCGCACAGCGTTAGGAAGTAGAGAAGTGCAGCTTCAGGGAACGGAGTTGGTTCTGGTTCAGCAGCACGTGACAGGGAGCAGGACTGGGAGTAGCACTGTGCTGTAGGGTTTCCTAGGTGTCAGGTGCTGGCGAGTCAAGTAGGATCCAAACGACCCTGTGAACAGCAGATCTGAACCTTGGTCTGTCCTGTACCAGCCCCACACTTCCTGACACACTAGAATCCATTGCTGAAGTCATTATGTCAACCCGCCCAGTTGAGGATCTCCTTTGCCAACCCTCTTATTTTTCTAAGAGTGATGTCATTCTTCAAGAATAACCTCTCTTAGCAACGTACCCAAAGGATGGGTGATGAAGCCTCACCATCCTTTCCTCCCAGGATATCTCTGACTTCACCTCCAACACACACAGTTTGTTCTCTTGGCCTTCCATAGGATACACAGCACTCTTCTCCAACACCACAGCTCAAAGGCACCACTAATTCGTCACACTGATTCATTGTCCAGCTCTCAGATGCACAGCGAGTGATGAGAAAGAATCAAAGTCATGATCTGAACCACATGCACCTTACTCCTCACACTGACACCCCTGCTTCTCAATAAACTATCATTTAAGATGTGTGGCTTGGTTTTAATCCAATGACTTTTCTCTTAAAGGGGACATGACACCATGCAGGCATAGTGGTCACAGGTCTTGCTCTCTGAGGATATCGTCAGTAAGAACGCGGTCCTTTCCATGGTAGGTTGGTGATGAGAAGGCCACGAGGGTGAGTCAGTGTTTAAGACGGTGGATAGTGGGACCTTCCTCCGGCGGAGCTGCTGGGTTGGGTCAAACCTCTGATCTTCTGGTTATCAGGGGAGGGCTCATCCACTGCACCACCAAGGCTCTTTATACAGACCCGCTATCCAGGCAGGGGCTTCTCAAGCTGCCCCAGAATTTAAGCTTGAGAGATTAATGTTCCCCAAGTGTCTCCCACTTGCCCAGGAGGTCACTTTCTGCTCCCCTCGGGAGAGCCTGTGCTCGTCTAAAAGACTGAGTGTTCTCTCACCCTTTTGGCTGTGGGGACCCCAGGAGGGCCAGGCACCCACTCCAGAGCTGTAGGATGGAAAAGGAGAATGCCTTCCATTCAGGACTGCTGAGAGACAAGGACCATGGCAAATGGGCAATGCGTGCTGCTGACGGGATGGCTAAATTACTAGCATTGACTGGGGGCCCTGGAACTGCCTTCGCCTCACAAGATCTTAGGGAACACAGCTTCTCTGTAGCTGTTTCTGCATTGTAATAGATACGTTTTTAAATCTTTATTAGAGCATGCCGACAAGTCTCTCCAGTAGCCACTGCATGGTTTGGAATTGACAACCTTTCATTTAGCAGCCAAGTGGTTAACTTGAGCTACTAAGGCCCCTTTTAATTAAGGTTACCACCAGCCAATACAAAATTATGACTGTAGCTCTGTCTATGACGCACAGGTAATGCAGCCTTGCTCGCTCAAAGACTAGGTTCTGTATGGGCTACATCATAATGTCAAGAAAACAAAAATACACAGCCAACAGGTCTATCATGATGTTACGTGTGGTCAAGTCGTAAGTGACTCATAGTGACTCTGTGAGCAAAAGTCCTCGACACTTGGGTGACTTTCATCCTCTCTCTAGGTTCATAGGGTTTCTGGAGGCAAGCTATTACGGAAGTGGATGCCACTCCTGCTTCCAAGCTTGTTTCAACCAGGGAGCTCCACCAAACACCGTCTACCATGGGTAAACATTCTCGCATTTCACACATCAGTGTCACATTGTTCAGCTTCACAGTGACCACAAGTTACCTCTGTATGGCAAGTGGACACACCAGGGCTATACGGCCTACAAGAAGGTTTGACCAAAACTTATTAAAAACAGGCCTGAGGGCACAGATTAGAGTCACCCACCTTTGGCTTGGTAGCATTGCTTTCGGTCCACTAGGCCAACTGGTCTTTCTCTGTGTTGTTAAGTGCTGTCATAGTGACCGTATGAACAAAAGTCCTCAACACTTGCATGTGTGACTTTCCCTATCATGATAGATGGAGAAAAAAAAATCCAAGCTGTCTATGATTTAATTTTATATGGATCATCAGTCCAGATATCAAATGATGTGTAACATTAGACAAATCTACTGCCAAAACCCGCTTATGCCAAAGAGCAAGGATATCACTTTAAAGACTGAGGTGGTCTGACTGAAGCCATGGTATTTTTCATTGCTTCATATGCATGTGAAAGGTGGACAACACATGAGGAAGACCAAAGAAAAACCGATGCTTTTTGAATTGTGTTGGTGAAGAATACTGGATATACTACAGAGTGCCGTGGACTGCCCGGAGGACAAACAGGCTCGTCCTAGGGAGGCTGCTCCCTGGAGGCAAGGATTCTGAGGCTTCGTCTGACCTACTTTAGACATGTTGCAGGGAGGGACCGGTCCTTAGAGAGGGACAGAGAAAGAGAGGGAGACCATCCATGAGATGGATTGTTACAGTGACTGGGATAACGAGGACAGATGTGTCAGAGACAGTAAAGTTGGCACAGGAGAGAGCGGGTCTCAGGGCTGTTGTACAGAGGGTTGCTATGAGTTTCGAGCAACTTGATAGCACATAACAACAACCACCAAAAGAACAAACAAATCTTTCCTGGAATAAGCACAATCTGGAATTAAGGAGCTCCTGAGAAGGAAGGATTGGGAGGGAGCCTTTAGCTCATATACTTTAGATATGTCACCAGGAGAGGTCATTATACGTATAACAACAGCCCAGAAAAAGATATATCACTGCAAAGAGGCCTGGGGTTGGGGGAGGAAGATAATTATGCAACAATGAATGAATATTAAAAAGCGGGGGGAACTGAAGGAGGAGGAAGGAAGGGCAAAGGGATAAAATGTGCAACAATGAATGAATGACAATCTAACTTCTCTGTAAATGTTTGTTAAAATCACAAAATAAAATTTTACTTTAAAAAATCAAAACTGGAGAGGTCAGTCCATAGGGAAGAACATCATGCTTAGAAAGATAGAGGGTCATTGAAAGAGAAAAAGACACTTAATGAGAAAGATTAACACCGTGGTTCAACAGTAAGCTAAAACACACCAGAGAGTGAGAGGATGGCACAGACAGGGCAGGGCTCTGTCTGGCTGGACATGGGCTTGCTGTGAGTTTGAGTTCATTTGATTGCACTTAACAATAACAACAGGCGATACAGAACACTTACAGTAAGCTTTGTGCCTGTAAGAACAGATAGATCACCCCTCCTTAAGGCAAAAAGTAAATCCCTTTTATGTCTACTACGGCATAGGACAGGACAGGACAGGGTTCAGATCTGGTGTTAATAGGGTCACAATGAGATAAACTTGACACCACCTACCAACAATAACATGAACTCTTTCTCCACCAAGATTCAGGTAGGCTCTCAATTACTCAAGTGGAAGGAAGAACATATAACTTACCTTCTAAAAAAGAAAGTAACATCTGGGCTTCATGCTTTGTGCTCCCCAGTGTTTAGAGGGTATCTCTTGGTGTTAAGTTGTTATCTCTTCCCTTACCTATATATAAGGGAAGATAAATAGGACATATTCATGGATATTTTTTTGAAAGGGCTTCTACTGAGATAGATTCTAGTCTGATCTCATTGTGTCCTTTTCATTTGGGAGTGGTAGTGTTGTGGGTGACCTTCTTAAGAAGAAATAGAACTTTTAATTTTGGTGTGAGAACTCTTGAAAATTGGCTTTTCTAGTCATTACATGAGCCTCTGTTTGGGAATGAGGCTTGGTCTCCAGCTAACTTAACAGCAGACACAAGGTCTTGCAAATCATCAACAGCTGTGGGACCAGTTTAAGAGCGTGCTTTCCATACTGTGAGGTACCCTGGTGATGGTGGCTGAGAGAGGGTGAAGAGACTGTAAGGTATGACCAGGGGAACGCTGTGTTTGTGCTGCTGAACTGAGCCTGGACTTTCACTAATTGGGGAATTGTGCTTTGTTAATCTGGTCTGGGGCTGCTGGACTAAACCTGGACCTGCATTGTGAGATAGTGTTTGCCTCTCCCATTCCCCAACCTGCTTCCCTAAAAAATCCCACAACTGTGAGTAAAATCTGTGAGTCAA